AGAGCTCCAACAGCCCATCCTGCACCACATAGATGCTGGCGTCAGGCTGGCCCGGCCGAAAGACGTAGTCACCCTGGCCCAGTCGCTGGAAGACCATGTGGCGGCAGAGCTCCAGGAAGAGTGGCTTCTCGAAGTGGCCCAGCACCCTGTTACGGGAGGAATGCAAGAGGTCAGGGAAGCCCCCGGGCTCTGCAGCCCGTCCACCCCTCAGCAGTACCCCCGACACTGACCGGACATTCTTGAGCATGTAAAGCACCTCGGAGGGCAGGTGGGAGTTGGCCAGGTCACCCTCAGTCAGGTCAGCCTCCAGCACTGCGGGTGGGGGCTCCTTCCGCTGCAGCGTTGGTGTCTCTTTCTGGATACGCAGGATCCTGATGGGAGGAGGGAGGTGTGGGGGGAGGGGAGGGGAGACAGGAAGGGGCTCAGGTTGACCTCAGACCCCCACAGATCCCTTTTCCCCCGTTTCACATAGAGCAAACTCTGGTCTGCTGGTCAAATCAGGCCCGCCACTTATTTTTGTAAATAGTTTTATTGGCACATAGCCATCTTCATTCATTGATTTATCATCTGTTGCTGCTTTCACAACAGCAGACCCGAATAGTTGTGCCCAAGGCTGTATGTAGTCTGTAGAGCCTAAAATATTTATCATCTGGCCCTTTACAGAAAAACTATTATGATCCCAGATGAAAAGTCCTGAGATTGCCCCTCCACTAGTCATAGGCCTGAGATGGACACCTTAGTTAGGTGGACCCCTGACTTAGCTTCCAAGATAAGGGGCAGACCCCAGAAATAGTTTGTCATGGAAGCCCTGAACCGGTCCTTCTGGTAGTCACAGGCTAGATTCCTGAGATAGCCCACCGAATGCAGGCATACCTTCAGGATGGCTTCCATTATATGAGAAGACCCCAGAGATAGCCCTTTCTCCTAGGTCTCAGAGAACCTTGGGACAGCCCCTCTGATGGCCACAGAGATCCCTGTGATAGCCCTTATTCCATGTGGAGAATCCAGAGATAGCCCCTCCGCCAACTGTGGGTGAGCCCTTCTTCACAAGTCACGGTGACTGCTGAGATAGCCCCGTCACTGGCACAAGATCACTGAGATAGACATTATGATATGAACAGACCCTGAGTTCAACTCAGCAGTATAAAAAAATCCAGCTATAACTCCTCTTCTGATCAGGGGGACCTACCACAGGACACAGCTCTGAGATAGCCTTCTGACAGTCATGAAGGCATCAGGATAACTCTTCAAGGGTGTGCAGACACCGGGGACAGACCCCTTGATGTGGAGAAACCTGAGGTATAGACCTGTGAGCATGAAGAACCCAGGAAAAGCTCTTGTACTAGAAACATAAAAAGCCCTGAAGCAGCATGACTCTCTTTTTTTTTTTTTTTTGAGTTGGAGTCTTACTCTATCACCTCAGTCTCCCAAGTAGCTGGAACTACAGGCGTGCGCCACTACACCCAGCCAATTTTTTTTTTTACTTATTGTAGAGATGAGGTCTCGCCAAGATGCCCAGGCTGGTCTCAAACCTGTGGGCTCAGGCAATCCTCTTGCCTCCGCCTCCCAAAGTGCTGGGATTACAGGCGTGAGCCATCACACCCAGCTTGCAGCATGACTGTTGATCTCAGAGAGCATGGAATAACCCCTAGTGTGAAGAAATTCTTAAGACAGATCCTGAGGTAGGTACCATGTTGCAAGATCCCAGAGCCAGCTCCCAACCTACAGAAATCCCTGGGAGGCCAGGTGTGGTGGCTCACACCTGTCATCCCAGCACTTTGGGAGGCTGAGGCAAGAAGAGTGCCTGAGCCCAGGGGTTTGAGAACAGCTTGGGCAACTTGGTGAGACCTTGTTTCTACAATCAATCAAAAAATTAGCCGGGCATGGTGGCATGCACCTGTAGTTCCAGCTACTTGGAAAGCTGAGGCGGAAGGATCGCTGGAGCCCAGCAGGTCAAGGCTGTGGTGGCTGTGAGCGTGCTACTGCACTCCAGCCTGGGCAGCAGAGTGAGACTCCAACTCAAAAAAAAAAAAAAAAAATCCCTGCGACAGACTTTCTCATGAACCCTGAGATAGCCCCTTGCTGCTGACAGGGACGCCAAGATGTCCTTTTCTATATATCTAGTGCAAGAAGATTCCTGAGATAGCCCCTAGGGACTAGAAAGCCCGCAGACAGCCTCCTTTGTATAAGAATTCCAAGGACAGTGACAGAGATAGATGCTTTCTGACACAGACAGGTGGCTGAGATAAGTAAGACCTGGAGAAAAGAGACTGAAGATAGCAGACCTTAGAAACACTTAGAAACCAATGAGGCACCTGGAATAAACTCATGTGGGGAGACCTATGAAATAACTGACACAGAAGACCCCCTAAATTCATGGCAAAAACCTCTGAGATATTAGCTTGGGAACAAACCAGAGATGCCCCTGTGGAAGAGAACATCACTGAGACAGCCCTCGGGAGACAGAGATTCTAGAAACAGCGTGTCTGGTTGGAAGAGCTCTGGGCTAGTCCCTCTAGCAGGGCCCTGAGATGTCCCCCCAATGTAGGAAGACCCTCAACACAGTCTGTGGGGTTCAAAGAATTCTAGATATACACTTTGGTGTGGGCAGATCACTCAAAAGGCCCCTGAGGTAGCCCCCAGCACCAGGTACCCCCAGCACAGCCTTACTTCTTGGCAATATTGAGCATCTTAAGCTTCTTCTTCATACGCGGCCGAGAAGTGGTGGAGACAGAGGCATCCACGAGAGAGGAAGTGGATTGTGATACCTGGGAGAATTAAGGAGGAGATGAGTCAGTGGCCGATTCGGACCCGGGGGGAGAGGGGGCCGGTTCTAGGGCCCTTCTTCGAGGACGAAGTGGTGGTGTACAACAAGATGTGTAAACAGGGAAGGGGCAGGGCCTCTGTGTGGTCAGCGCGGACCCCAGAGGTCCCGGACTCACCTTCCGCATAATCTTCCGGCCATAGAAAAGCACTTTGTCCCTCTTCCGGAACCGATACCGGGGCCCATCCGGGGCTGGGGTTTCTGGGGATAGTGGGGAGAGGGGCACTCTGAGCGCTGCGCAGACGCCCCGTCGCCAGAGCTGGGGTGGGGGCGGGGCCGTTGCGTGCAGACTCCAGCAAACCCCCGTCTCTACCGCCCCGAGGGCCCGGGTATTTCGGCTCCCCGGCCCGTCAACCCCCCAGAAGAGGCCCTCCCGGTCCTCACTCGGCACTCGCAGCCTCCGCACCACCAGGAGGATGAGCACGGCTGTGACCAGCACCGCCACTCCGGCCCCGATCATCACGCCCAGCACCTGCGGGACGAACGGCACTGGCTGCGGACCGCAAATCCGTCCCGTCGAGCCCTCCCCGGGGGCCGGGACGTCCAGGGCTCCATCCCTTTCTGTCACCTTCGCCCTCGAGGAGTTCGTAGCCGGCCCGTGACTCGATGTCCCCATCTGCAGCATGGGCCAGCGCCGCTCTCTCTCTCTCTCCCCGGGGGCGCGACTCTTCCCCGAGGCTCGGCGGCCCGCAATGCACGCCGGGAAGCGTAGTTCCGCCCGAACCAGACGCAGCGTCGTTCTCGCGGGACCGCCACGGTGCGCGCGGAGCATGCCGGGAGTGGTAGTCCCCGCGGCACCGCACAACCCCAGCCCTTACCATTCCGGTTTGCAGCGGGGCGTCCATCGGTTGCTTCGGGCTGGGCGGCGGATCTGGTAGTATCGCGTTCTGGAGGATCAAAGAGCAGCGGGAACCCGGGCACGTCGTCAATCTGGGTCCGCCCCGCCCCCAGCACAAGC